AGCGCTTCTTGTAAAAGTCCAAAAAGACCCTCATTGTGCTGAGCATAGGACAAATTCGCAGCTCTTCAGCAGCAAGTGTTGGCGTTTCTGTATGAGTGAAAATACTCGAGAAAGACGTTACACAACATACAATCAATCAATCTCAAATCAACTTAAGAAATAAGTTCTAAAAATAAATTGTTTCAACTTCTAAAAACTATAGAGTAGGTAATTTGCATGCCAAGTTTGCCAATGTCCCATACAGATATATGTATTATCATTTTAAAGTGAACGTTTTCTTGGATCCAGTAAATTTCTACCACATACTAGATTCCGGTCCTTGAACATGTGCTTAAACAGAGAGATAAACAAGGTAATGTTTCAACATTTTTATAATGTAACAGCAAACTTTAGAGGCAAGGGGTGGTGATATTTGCTTCTGTTACAATTCAGAGTGGATTTAAGTAAATTTTAATTTGTTTAGATATATTGAGCCCTGAGTAATGTGTTTTCAAGTTTTCAATTGCTATCCATAGACACATATCGACTTATGTCCTTCCTTCCAGGCCGATTTCTGACAAGTTTTGGAGCAGTACCAAGCTTTGTGGCATCTTCCACACGACGGAAAGCCTTTCTCGTCGTCTGCTTCCTTCCCACACTGAGTACAGATGTCCACATCATCACCCTCAAACAGGCACCGAGGACACTCGCACCAGAAGTGATACAGACGATACAGAAGGCCTCGTCTTTGTTGTCGGGTGAATGACGTATCCACATATGACACAAACAACTCTTCTCCCTCTTTGATTGGTCTTCTCGAGATCACGTGTATTCCAGGAGCCTCGTTTGCGATTCCAGAAATGATTTCCACGTTTCCAGCACAAGAATGGTTTAAACTTGATTGAAAAGTAAACAGTCCAGCAAACACAGCCTCTCTGATGTTGTTCTGTAAAATCTTCTTCAAACTCTGCATTTCGGGAATCATATCGACACATTTTCGGAATTCGAAGTAAGGATGGTTAGGATCCGAAAACGCCTGAACATTTCTATAGATTTGGCCATAGCGAAAGTTGAATTCTTCTGGCGTAATAGTGTAATGTCTGCTTTTATCTTTGTTCGTGAAGATCTTGACCATGAGATCAAACATTTTCGGAATTCTTTTCGTTATCCCTCCGCGTCGTTGAACTTGAAAACTAATAATGTAAAATCATTTTGTTGAAATTAATTCACAATAATGAACATTTCTTAAATTTATTGGGTACTTTTTTTTTTCATATATTTTTTTATTATTTAATATTTTGAACATATCAATTTAAAAATGTGACCACAGATCAACCAACATTTGCATGGATTTTGAGAGAGGAGAAAACAATTTATCTTCTTCATACTGTACCTGTCAAACTTTCTTCTGGCTCTAATGAGGTCCACCTCTGTGATTTGAGTTCTGTCGTTGTTTTCGGTTTCAGTGAGAGCATCACAGAGGATTGTTGCCCAGAGTTTAGCCAGCAGGAGGGGACTGAAGCTCTCCTGCCACCAGCCCTCCAAGTTCTCTGACCCTCGGAGTAGGACACTCTTGTACTCTGTACAAATTTTGTACAGTTTGGCCGAGTGATCATTTTCAGATGGACATAAAATTCTGTGGTACTTCTTCCATGATTTACGCGTGCATTCTTCGGAGCAGTAGACTTCAAATGAACAGTGCTTACACTTCACTGGTTTCCGAACTGTCCAAAACTGGTCCACGGCTTCCTTCAATGATTTATTCTTCTTTAGAATTTTTGCACCAAAAAATTGTTCTGGAGAAGCCAAACACTTTGCACAAAGGCTACATGCTGGAATATCGCCATAATTGGAATCAATGACCGGGGCGCAGAGAACTGATCCTTCTTGGAAGACAACGGACTGATTTTCAACGCCTGAAGTGGCCGTCACGGTTCGTCCTCTATCTGTAAGCTTGATTGTAATGTCTGAGTTCCGATTTTGGAAGAGTCTCGTTGTCCGGATATTCAGGAACAACTGTACCGCTTCTTGACATGATACACTTTCATTATCTTCCGACTCGAAAATCGTCCTTAACCAGTGTTCTGCAGTGACAGAGAGACCGAGCTCTTGTGCTGCTTTGGCTGTAAAGAACGAGAAACAACGATTTATGAACATAGCTGATGAACCAAAAACATTGTCTTGGGACTAATATATGATTGCAGTATAAACCAACCTCTTATGCGTATTTTAATGGGGTAAATAAAAAATGCACGCATCCTCAAACTTGTCTCTATTTATGATAAAGTTGACAAAAATAATGAGTTTTAAAATTTTAAATGCCTTCCTATAAAACAGAAAACATAATAATATTAATACATTTTTTAAATATTTATACTATTACCCCTTTATTTCATTTTGAATAAAACAATATTTTTGGCAGACCTCCTAGAATCCAGACAGATGATGATTTAAGTTGTTGATGAAACTCGGTACATATGTAAATACACTCCTTGTACAAATCCGCATCATATAAAGACTTCATCAAAACGACAACATCACAATCTGAAGAACCAAACCAGGACCTCACAACGTGCATTCCTTTCTGGGTCTCTCCTTTTGTGAAAAGGTCTACAACTTCTGTAACTTTGGCTGGGTTGTCCTTTAATTCCACAGAATTGTCAATTTTCTCATCACTCGTGTATTCTATCCACCGGTTTACTTTCTCCTCCTCGACACGCATAAGGACATCGTCTCCTGGTAAAGGTTTTAGATTGGTTGACAATGGAGAGACGGGTTTTCGAGTAATTCGTTCGAGCACGCCCTCCTGCATTTTACGGAGCCCATCCTTTAATTCTGAACATGAGGGATAGATGTTCAGAGCTTCCGTAAACACTTCGTACGCTTTTTGAAAATTTTGTGCTTCCACTAAATTTTGGGTTTCCTTGATATATGTCTCCAAATTTCTTTCCATTTTGTACACAATTTATAATTTAGAAGGAATATAGTAATCACACACAGAGTTAATACACCTCACACACATCCACAAGTATTCCTCCTCAGTAGCTCATGTCTTCAGTATGTGTACCTAGACAGGCAGATGGTGGATTGTTACAGGGTTACATGACACCGTCTGTTATTTATTCATGATAATGAACATCATATGTCGGTGTGTGCAGTGTGTAAAGTATTCATCTTCGCCATAAACAAGACATTGTAAGCAAACTAGCCGATTCCTAACTGTTTTTGATAAAAAGAAAGAAAACTTTTCAGTAAGGGTTAATTTTTTTCATGAAAACCTTGTTTAAGGAAATAAATAATTGTAATATATTGAAGAAAAGACTGACGTGTCATTAAAACAAGGTATACAGTACCGGAAGAAAGAACATTGTGAAAGTTTCCTTAAATTGATAAATAAATGCAAGCTAACCGCTGGTCTTGTTATTTTATAATCAGCAAAATTATCTTACTGATAATAATTCTGCATAATCTTGATTAAAAATAAAAACACTACTCGCAATTCATTTGACCCAAATATGTGCATGTATTTTAAATATCAACATGCTTTTCTTCAAAATTTTTTTGTAAAGGATAAAATCTTTAAAAATTCAATGATTCACAATTATTTCCTACAGATGCATGGAATGATTGTACGTTGATAAGTATTTCAAATGATTGTCAAGTTGTTTAATCACCCTTTAATATGACTTTTATTGGGACAATATTAAAAGCTATAGGCAATATCTGGGGGGCGGGTTCTCTAGAAAGAAAAGATTTGATGCTTTTTCTTATTTTTCTTGTAATGAAATGCAGTCCAGCTGTGTAGATAGAAATTCTGGACAGTGCATATATGCAGCGATTCTGCTGTTTTCAGATTTCAGAGAGAGCGAGAGAAAGAGAGAGAGACAATTAAAATCCAAAGCCCAGAGAAAAATATAATTACCTTGTTAAGTGCAAATTTCGGGTTATTGATATATACAGTTCTTACAGCAATATTAAGAAGATGGAAATATTTTGCGGGTACCCTGCGGGATTCCTGTGTAGGAATTATTTATGGTTTAAATCTTCTGTCGAAGGGGCGTATCCGTGTGTTGTCTACAGCTGAACAGACATGGAGAAATTAATACACATAGGAAAATGTTATATTTATTGAAATATCTTGTCAGAAATTGATATATTTAGTAATACTTAACATAATTATTAGCAAACACATGAAAAAGTATATAGCTTATTAATGGAAATATAATCAATTTCTATTGGGTAGTTAAAACTTGCTTTAGATCTCAATGCAACACAATATATGATTTGATTTTTAATACGAGTTAATCAGTTGATAATTTAATCAAACTGTTTTTTTTTATATAAATATGCGAGTCAGGGATTGGTTTCAGTGGCAGGTAACAATATTACTTATGCATAAAATCCTACATAAAATTTTGACCCCACCCTATGAAGACTGAACTACCCAAACTTTATCATTTCTTAATTTTCTCCCCTTGAAGATGGTGTAAACCATAATTTTATTAATTATTTGTATAAATTTAAATCCATTTCAAGTTCAAGAAGGGGATGTTAGGATTTAATACTTCATAAAGTAGAGATTAAGAAATACACAATTTACACCTCAAACCTTTTTATTTATCACAGTTTGACATACAGCCTTTTTAGATCACAATAAAAATGTATTAAGTTTATTAACTTATTTTTCATGTTATTTTGAATATGAATTAAATATAAATAAAGCATAGAAAAGCATGTCTAGGACCAGAAAAATGTAAACAACATCACAAAAGAGATGAGAATTTGATATACCATATAATTATAAAGATCAAACTACATATACTAAATAAAACTCTGTAAACAAGACGTAGTATTTAGATTGGCAGTTTTTAGTCACTTTGACATTAATGCACAAGAGTAGAAGCAGTGTGTTTTATTTCACAACAATGATAATGAACTCAAACAGAGATATTGGAAGCATAGCTTCAATATCACTTTGCATATAATCTTAAAACATAATATTTATATATATCATGACATGAATTTTATTACTCTTTAACTCAAGTTTATTGGTTTAAGGTAGACATTAATGTAGTGATTTGAATGTAGAAAACAATAAATTAAAGTCAGATGAGAGCAGCACTGGTTAAGATCCACTTTTATTCTCGGTGTTTGCCATGTGTTTATTGTATGTCTTCTCCTGTTTTTCATAGAGCTTGGCTAACTTTTTTATCTGCCCCTTGGATAGTTCTTTTCCTTCTGCGTCGTGTGTAGGAATTCCCTACAAAATCCACAAATATATTGATGCATTGTGATCCTTTACCAATTATCATTTAAACTTTGAAATAGATATGCCATACAAAAAAAAAAAAATTTCTGTGATGCAAATTAATTAATAAGTTCTTTTTATCTTTCTTTCCTTATTTTTGAATTAAAAAAACAATCTTTTCTTTTTACATTTGAAAATAGCATTATTTTTTCTTATTATAGAGTTTAAAAAAAAAAAATGCATTTTTTTTAATATTTGAAAATAGCATTGGTTATTTCCCTTAGAATATCCCAAATTAGAATCAAATTATGATCCAAACCTTGTCATCAAACTGGGAATATTTATCCGTTTCTTTCTTAAAAAGCTCCCATGGAGGAATCTTCTCTTGAGCAAGCTTTGCCTCCTTAAAAAATTGAAATCAAAGACTTAAGTATAGAATAAAATAAACACACTGATTTCAAACATCAATATTACATTAAGAGACTCAGAACAAACCATTTCTTGTTTCCTTTTCTCTTTCTCTTGTCTCTTCAACTCTTCTTGCTGATCAAATAATGGGAACAATATTATTATTATTTTTTTTAAATGCCTAAATATCATTAATTGTTACACATAATTTTGAATTAATATTTTCAGTAAATCAAAAATTGTATGAGAAACTATAAACTAATTTCTAATCCAATTAAAAAAAATACATTAGTTACAAAAAGTATATGGTTAAAGCATACTTATAAAAAAGTCATATACTGGTACCAATTACTAAAGAAAAAATCTAGACTGAATTTATTAGGGAAAAACATAATCATTTTACTCTCTTATTTGTAATCAAGTTGTTTTCCTGTGAATGATAACATTATCTAGTAGTGCTACCTTAAGTTTCTCCTCCCTTTCCTTGAGCAGGGTTTCCCGGTCCACCAGTTTGATGGTGGGAGGGGATATCCCGTCCTCCAGGCGTACCCCGAGGTTTGGTAAGACATCGTCTCTTAATTTATCACACAGCTTCAGGATTTCTGTGGCTGTCAAAGGAAAAATAATAACAGGGTTAGATTACTTGCCTAGAAGAAGGAATTATCTAGAAGAGGATTTATGAAGAAGGGACATAACTCTATCAGAAAATTTAAGAAGGGACATAACTCTAACCTTTCTGTTCCCTGGAGATGGTTCTAACGTCCTCCCTGAATTGAGCAAAAGCTGTCAGGAAAGGCATCACTGTCTCTTCCACCTTAAACAAAAACAAACAGTAAGTAGGAGTGTAGAGATATCTTTGACTATTAACTTTCAGTGATGTTATTCAATTTTTATATGCATCTTACATTGACATTCTGTGTGCTTGACTGAGGGAACCCTATCTCTTCATCTGTTTCAATGGCTCCAAATACCTATAAAAAAAAAGAGGCCTGAATAAAACATCACCCTTCAAAAGTCAAACAAATTATTTTATATTTAATTATACATCAGTTGAACAAATACAGAATTGTTTTTTAATTGCTTGAGTCATAGAATCTATTTCCCAAACAAGTCTTTGTTGTAGTTAACATGCTCCTGAGGACGACAGACCTTGAAGAGCTCGGTGATGTAAGCTGCGATGTTTTTGAGGATCATCCTGTTGGGTGCCTTGTTAGCGGCCCTGGAATTGGCCATATAGATATTGGCTACACCAATCAGCTCTCTCAGATGGTCCAGGGCTGCCCTCGTGTTCACATTGTCTGAAATCAAAAATCAAATCAGAAAAAATCTGTCTCAGATTCAAGACAGCATTGGAAAAAGGAGGTTGCATGAAGATATATAAAATCACAGGTCCTTAATGATCATGAAGAGAGTATTTATAGTCCCTGCCCATTTCCTCATTTACCAATAGATTTTCTGACAATATATTGTTTACAGTGTTTAAAGATTAATGGTTCTTACTCACCACAGAGAGCTTCATGTACAGCATCTCTTGTAGCAAAGTACCTGAAAGGACAAAAACATTTAAATGTATTGGAGCATTAATAAGTAAGAACAAGTCTGGTAATTGCTGGTCAGTATGTGGGATTATATGAATTACTAGATATATGTAAATAGATGTAGTGACAAGAAATCTATATTCAGTGACATAGTATACCTGCACTGATCAGAATTACCTGTTATTGAGCTCCATCTCCTCTGCTGACCACTTCTCAAAAGCTTCTATCCCTGTGCCAGGAGTGGTTCTTAGCAGGTTCTTCACATTCAGAAAAAATTCCTAAAACAAATGTACAACATATATACATGGAACTTTCTCTCAGTGAGAAATTAAAGTTCACAAAGACAAACAGACTCAACAAAAAAGCTTAACAAAGGTTTTACAAGATAGAATCATTCTACACACAGTAAAACACATTTACAGCAAACATATAATTATAATAAATTGACACTTACAGTGAAGGGATTTTCATGCCTTGTAATTTTCAAATATAAATTTAATGGATATTACAGTCAATTTACGCTTCTAATGAAGCAAAATCATTAGCCCCTGGCACCTTATTAAAAGTGAAACTTAATCTTTTCAGATATTGGTAAAATATAGAAAAAATCTACCATTACTGTACATACAAACATATAAATGGTCCAGACTTACATTGACCATCTTCTCGTATCTGATGGCTATCTCCATACTGTTCTCTCCGTAGTCCAGTGTATCCTTCCACTGATGGAGTAAGAACAGCAGACGTAGCTGTCGCGCCGTGTGCTTTGTCAGGGCCTCCTTGATGGAGATGAAGTTCTTCAGGGATTTGGACATTTTACAGCCTTCAATGGTCAGGTGACCAGCATGGAGAAAGTACCTCACCCAGTGATCGTTGTTGAAATAGGCCTAAAAGATGTGTCAACACAAAATTACATGTAAGGATAGTGGTAATACAAAATTGTGAGGATTGCATTCATCCAAGCTAAAAATTCATAAAATACTGGGGGTAATCTGTAAAAATATCAAGTCATTTAGGTAACATTGAACCATACAACTATGTATCTACTCCAACTACAATAGATATTGTACCTCTGCTGTTGCCAGCTTAACTCACCTCAACTTGAGTGAGCTCATTGTCGTGATGTAGAAATCTGAGATCAAACCCTCCTGTGTATATGTCTAGAGATTATACTCACCTCAGCTTGAGTGAGCTCATTGTTGTGATGTGGAAATCTGAGATCAAACCCAACCCCCCATGTGTATATCTAGAGATTGTACTCACCTCAGCCTGAGCGAGCTCATTGTCGTGATGTGGGAATCTGAGATCAAACCCTCCTGTGTGTATGTCTAGAGATTCTCCTTGTATGCTGCTCGCCATCACTGAGCACTCTATGTGCCAACCTGGACGTCCCTACAAGAGGAAATCAAAGTTTGGGGGTTTTGTTGTTTGTTTGTTTGTTTTTTTATGATAGACAAATGGAGGTCAATGGTGAATAAGTATGCTAATGAAAAAATTCCCATATAAAAAATTCTGAAAGAAACCTTAGATTTTCAGTGTTTGTAAATAGAGACCTTTAGTGTTATAGTCTTCTAATGAAGTTATTTTTTGTGAATTATCAGGAAATATAACCCTGTATTCTTGGGTACCTTTCCCCAGGGGGAGTCCCAGGAGGGCTCTCCAGGTTTGGAGGCCTTCCACAGGGCAAAGTCTGTCGAGTTCTTCTTCTCCTCCTGTCTCTCCACAGACACACTCAGTTCACCTAAAATAATCGATAATAATACGAAACAAGAGAAAAACACCCATTTAATGACACAGAGAAAAAAAACACACGTACTGAGACACTTAATTCATCTACTGTATAGGGGGAAAATAACTCGTGGTTTTAATATTCGCTATATTCACGGTGATAATAAATCCGTGAATTCAAGAAACAGTGAATGTAATCTCCTGAGAAATACAAAATACATGGTCATTTCAGAAAAAAATGTCATTCAATTATTTTAATTAGCTGACAACAGATAATAACCTGTATTTGTTAAAAGGCTTTTTAATAGCCAATTTATAATCAAAACACGTGGGCCAGAGTTTTGAATCAGAAATTTAAAGTGTGCATTATCATCAAATTATGTACATTAACATTAGTGGTTTTTCGCCGCGTTGTTTTGAAGATCTTGGGTGTACAGATTGTATTTAGCATACAGAAAACAAATAGTCAAGGACTTTTATAACTGCACCTGAAACAATCATTTATTAAGTCTAACTATTTTATATTAACCTAACCTGTTTTCGTGAAATAAAGACGTAACAATGATGAATGTCGTTTACATGTAGCTATGGTATGGATTAAACGGATATAGCCAAAAGAGGTAAATAATAACCGATCGTGTCCGATGAGAGAAAACCGTGAAAATTGCAACCCGTGAAATTAATCCCCTATACAGTATTCAAAATCATAAAATGTACCTGAATACAAAATAAGTGGAAAAAATGCTCTTATACTGACCCTCAATTTATAATTAGTAATCAGAAATTTAAAGTTGCTTCATCAAATTATGTTAATTATTTAGAGGTCAACAAATTTTATATGAAACAATTATTATCTACCATTGCTAGAAATTTTAGACTGTCAAATAATAACTGACGACCTAAGTAAGAAACTGACCCTCTCCCTCATTGAGGGCTGCCTTGTCTCCGTAAGCCTCGGGAACAATCTTAGCGTAACTGTGACCTTCAGCTGCATCAAAGGCCGCGGTGTCAAAGTAGACAGAGCCATTAGACTCGTAACTTGAGAAAGTAAACAAATGTAGCTCATGAGTACCAAAACCACAAAAAATAAAATCTCATTCATTCATTCTTTATTTCCTCCGAACCTGAGATTCAGTTTCAACATGACAACAAATATCAACATATAAAATATATTTTTAACCTCAGAAAAAAGTTTTAGTCAGCATAAACATATCCTCAGCTCAAACAATTAAAATCAACATTTTTAAAAGCAAATGCAATATTTTACCATAGCTTTTTCTTACCCAAATCCATTGGTGATGATTTTCTGGATGTAGGTGACAATTTCTGGGACATAATCACTGACTCTAGTAAGGACATCAGCAGGCAACACCTGTACATCAGAAATCAACAGGCTTTATTTAATGCCCCTCAAAATTGGTAAAAATATGGAATTCCAAGATATAAGCTTTATTTTATGCTATTTATCAGGTATGCATTTGAGTCATAGCAGTTACATTCATTAAGTGTGTACAATAGACTTAGATATCTTGCAGCTAGGATATCCAGTATAGTTATCTCCACAGCCAACTCACATTTAAAGACTCCATGTCTTTATGATAGTCTTCTTCAAAAAACTGTGGTAACTTGGCAAAAATGGTATTGTCCGTGACCTCTGACCCATGTAATTTATCCAGCCAATCACAAAGCACGTCTCTCCCATCTACATACAGCCTCTAAATGCAAAAAATAAATAACGATAATGATCATTCATAAAGGAAATGTACGTATTCCAAAATTTTTTTGTTTTTAATTTTCTCGTGCATATTTGTAAAACATAAACTGTATACAGGTTTATTTTCGACCCGTGTTATTTTTGCCCTTTCATGCTTGCAAACAATTTTTCCCCATTTAAAATTTCCTTGTATACAGTAATAAACTGCATTGTAAAATTTGTATTTTTGAATACCAGATGTAGAAAATAAATCTACAATATGCTAATATGAAGCAACACTCATTCCATGTTATTGGTATTTGTATCTTTACATGTCAGATGAACAAGAAATTGGGATTCTACATGAAGCTGTGAAGAAATAATTTATGACATAGAGATATATAAAAAATAAGCCCCCACCTCTTTGGACTTGGCTCCATCTTGACTGGCCTTGACCTCTGACACAGCTGTCTCGACCTTGGCCTTAATCCTGACATACATAGCTTTCTTATCTGGGTCCTGCTCCTGTTCTAATTTGGCTAAAAAAGGCTGAAAAATATAGAAAGGTATAATAATTACATGTACTGAAAAAAGGAGTTCCAGTCAAATAACAAAGCACTAGTGTATACTCGATGATTATGTAACAGTTATCATGGGCAGTGACTGTACCTTCATGGCTGTCTCCACGTCTTCCAGTATTTTAGACACCGCCATGTCTTTCTTCTGGTATTCCTCATACAGATAGTTCTGTCGAGCTCTCTTGATGATCTGAGAAAAGATATTACAGCTCTCAGCACTTGTGGGTTTTCTATTTAATTGGGTGATCAAATATTTCAGATTTTTTAAAACATCTTAAAAAATGTTCTCCTTATTTGAGGTGTTCACACGATACCTACCTTGTCATCAATATCTGTGATGTTCACATGTGACTACCTTGTCATCAATATCTGTAATGTTCACAGGATGCCTACCTTGTCATCAATATCTGTGATGTTCACATGATGCATACCTTGTCATCAATATCTGTGATGCTTACATGATGACTACCTTGTCATCAATATCTGTGATTTTCACACGATACCTACCTTGTCATCAATATCTGTGATGTTCACATGATGCATACCTTGTCATCAATATCTGTGATGTTCACACAATACCTACCTTGTCATCTGTGATGTTCACACAATACCTACCTTGTCATCAATATCTGTGATGTTCACAGGATGCCTACCTTGTCATCAATATCTGTGATGTTCACAGGATGCCTACCTTAATTGTCATCAATATCTGTGATGTTCACACGATACCTACCTTGTCATCAATATCTGTGATGTTCACATCAATATCTGTGATGTTACCTACCTACCTTGTCATCAATATCTGTGATGTTCACACAATACCTACCTTGTCATCAATATCTGTGATGTTCACACGATACCTACCTTGTCATCAATATCTGTGATGCCTACCTTAATTGTCATCAATATCTGTGATGTTCAAACGATACCTACCTTGTCATCAATGATGTTCATGTGCATACCTTGTCATCAATATCTGTGATGTTCACATGATGCCTACCTTGTCATCAATATCTGTGATGTTCACATGATGACTACCTTGTCATCAACATCTGTGATGTTCACATGATGCCTACCTTGTCATCAATATCTGTGATGTTCACATGATGCCTACCTTGTCATCAATATCTGTGATGTTCACATGATGACTACCTTGTCATCAATATCTGTGATGTTCACACAATACCTACCTTGTCATCAATATCTGTGATGTTCACAGGATGCCTACCTTGTCATCAATATCTGTGATGTTCACATGATGCCTACCTTGTCATCAATATCTGTGATGTTCACATGATGACTACCTTGTCATCAACATCTGTGATGTTCACATGTGACTACCTTGTCATCAATATCTGTGATGTTCACACAATACCTACCTTGTCATCAATATCTGTGATGTTCACAGGATGCCTACCTTGTCATCAATATCTGTGATGTTCACATGATGCATACCTTGTCATCAATATCTGTGATGTTCACAGGATGCCTACCTTGTCATCAATATCTGTGATGTTCACAGGATGCCTACCTTGTCATCAATATCTGTAATGTTCACACAATACCTACCTTGTCATCAATATCTGTGATGTTCACATGATGCATACCTTGTCATCAATATCTGTGATGTTCATGCAGTAGAAGACGTCGTACTTGAAGTAGTTCTGGAGGACTCTCCTGAGAATGTCTATAGAGATATACGACCGGGCGTGCCCCATGTGGGAGTAATCGTACACCGTGGGGCCGCAGCTGTACCAAAGGACACGCCGACCTTTCTGGGGGACAAACTCCTCCTATAAATACAACATACACAAATCTGATAGGGTTTTCTTTACATTTTTAATTCTAGTATACTGCATGTAAATGACAATTTTCGCTTATATTAGATGGCTCTTTGTAATGAATATATTTTAAAAAGTATTATCAAAAAATATTAATAAAGGCAAATAACTCTAAAGACTGAATTGAAAAATATACTCAGCACAATATTTTTAAATTCATGTGTTAATTTAAAGGTTGACAATTATTAAAAACTCAATAAAGAAAAAAAAAGATACATGCTGATTATTATCCATTCACTGGTCACAAGTGGCACAGTAATGACCAGTCAAATGTTAACAATCAACTAGGATCAAATCTTAGTTAATTACAGGTACACATAATTAAATTAATACAATATTACAAAGATAAAATGAAATGTCAATGTCATGTGATCTTGCAACAAAAAAGTTAAAATGAAATCATTCCCACATTAAGAAGACAGACATTTCCTATTGTAATAAATCTTCATCCTCTTATTTCCTTTTGCAGGAAACTGAAAAAACAAGGAACATGTAAACAAAGATTTATAGTACACTGGATAAGCTACTACCCTGAGTGCAGCACAATGGGTAAATATGTGAAATAGATCATACAGTCCTTTCTACAATATATAATATTTTTGAACATTGAACTTTTTTCCTTTAAAATAATCTTTACTTCAAAGTATGTTCTATTTTGGTTTCATCAATATTTCTCAAAATCACTTTAAAATAATCAATTATTTTAGTTCATAAACGAACCCCCTCCCAGGAGCCAATTCTGCCCCTTGAGGGAGCCCCTCCCTCTGAGGAACCAAAGGTCAGCCCTGATTGGCACACCTTCCAGTTCTATGAGAACCCCTACCTGAGTGGTGTGTATGGAGCCGTGGGGGGTATCCTAGCTGGGGGCGCCCTGCTGGGAATCCTCTGGTACTTTTACGGGATCGCGTTCCTCCTGTCTGTGTACATTGCTGGACCAATCGCTGCGGTGCTACTGATTGGGATGATTCTCTCCGTGGCTTGTCGGTGTATTGTCTGTATCCTGGTCCCCGAGATCCTGGGTAAGTACGGGAGGTGGATCCTGTACACCCTCCTGCTAGCCGCTCTGGTCCGTGGTCCCGTGGCCAACATCTCCACCAACATGCAGCGAATGTCTAACAGCATGGGCTGCAGTGCCGAGATGATCAAAAACCAGACCCAAGACCTGAAACAACAGTTCCTGGATCCCTTTAATAACATTAAGGTAACAATTTATGAAGTTGAAGAAGCTTAATATGTTATGAGATTTATAAACTTCAAAAAGACTATATATTTTATTTGTTGATTCAGTCTTCTTAAAGACACACAAGGACCCTAAATTTGTGTAAATTGCTTCCTCTGAATAAGGCATTGTTCACTATTCAATTGATCTGTAAACTAGATCTGGAATTTTGAATCATCCTACTTGATTTCAGAATCAGATGCTTCAGATTGAGGCCAAGGTCAAACAATACGCTGGTTACATTGAGACGGCGATGAAGCCCATCACCGACGCCATCAAGGCCACCGCCTCAGGGCTGTCCAGCGCTGCCAACTACCTCAAGAAGGCCGCAGATGTGAGTTCCACGTTCAATTTGCCTTTTATATGATTAATGACCAGGTAATATAAAAATAGAGCTTTAAACATTCTGTATCTTTAAATTTTACCTTTCTTACTGAAGTACATGAGATAAATTTATCAAAAAGGAACAGCAAAAATTAACAATTTATACATCAGTTTAGGCGCTTTCTTGTCATATGGAACGTGAGTTGTATTAAGAGAGATGTAACAAATCTTGTTTTCAGGAATGCAAGTCCATGTTTAACAATGCCTACAACTCCTGCAAAAAGTTTTTCAGCAATGCCTACAGCAAGTGTAAATCAACTGTTGACAAGATACCAGTCATTGGGAGTCTGAGAAGAAAGAGAGGCACACAGGGTAAGGGAACCAGCTAACATGAACTGAGTGACTCAGACCTCCTTAAGATTGTCTCATGTTACATAGTCTATAAGAGATGAATGTGTTTCAGGGGAGGTTATAACAGAGGAGATATTTGTTCCATGGAATGACAAAGAGGAAGAGAAACATAGAAGATTCTGGGAAACTCGAGCAGAGGAAATCCTGGAAGAAACCTTGCGTGAGGCCAACTTGCATCCACAACACAGATTATATGATCATGCTGCCATAAAAGAGAAATATTACAATCTGACAATTCGTAGGTGAGAATTTTTTAAAATGTTAAATACCCTTTGATAAGGTTTTTATGCAATGTACATAATTCATTTACTCTGCCTAAATGATGAGCCTGATATCAAAAATAAAGAATGTTTTTCAAGATATGCTAGGATACCTATTGATCCTATTTTCACAGATTCAGGAGAGGTGTGGTTTCTGGGATATGTGAGGTGGTAAACATTGGCAGTGGATTATGTGCCCCGCTGAAAATCACCACCGGTATCTGTACGCCCCTAGAGACCCTCTCAGATAGCTTAGAATACATAGGAAAGGGAGTTGACTACCTCTATCAGGCAATAAAGAATGCCTTCTATTTTAACATCATTAAGAAGTGGTACCTGATCGGACTCAGTGATGTCAGTAAGACGGCAGCAGCACTGGTGGCAGAGATTGCTTCCTGGTTCAGTTTCCACGCCTACATCATCCACACGAGTCTGTCCATTCTCACCCAGTGGACCTCCCTCCTCCTCCTGTTCATGTTCCTACAGAGCGCCCTCTACCTCCAGCACTACCTCTCCCAGATAGACTACGACAACAACTACATCTCCCTCAACTTCAGACGGTACGATCGGGACTGTCGACGACTCGGTAAACCATCCGTCTTGCCATTCAAAAAGAACGAGGCTTCTCAGTACATTTTTACAAGTACCCTCGCACTGAGTGGCTCAGAGATCAAGAAAAGTATTCTGGCCATACTTCAGTTGTTGTTGAACATTATATTCTATGCTGTTGTGGTTTTTATTGATTATGCCATATACTATGCTGTTTACCTGGTGCATACCTATGCCAATATCCAGATTGATTATTCAGGTTCAATGTACATCAACTTTCAAATAACGGGGGATGGTATGATTGCCCGCTTTCTGAGAAGTTTAGTAACAGGGATAACATTACAGGACAGCTATTACACGACGTATAACATCACCCAGTGTCTGCCCTACCCATCCTATCCAGATAACAACAACCATTACCTACTTCTGTCTCTTATTGCAGGGGTGCTGGTGACGATAATATTACAGAGTTACTGCTACCGAATCAAACGGGCTTTGTGTGGCTTCTTCTATCAGCAACGAGAGGAGGAGAGAATTGTCTACCTACATAACAAGATCCTACACCATAGGAAATTCAAACTTCAACAAATGAGATCACGCTTAAAAGACTCCAATCAGGCGAGAGATGCTGAGCGGGCACTGGCTAAGCTTCCTCTGATTGGTGGATTTTTTGGAGGTCACGACCCTGGACGTTCCTGTCTGCACTGTGGAATCTCAGACAAAGACGTTGAGCATTTTTACACTTGTCCAAGAGTGAGCTGTTATGCTGATTATTGTGAGGACTGTTTCAATGAGATGGGAAGGAAATGTCTGCTGTGCTCCCAGAAAGAAGAAATACCTTCACAGGAAGGAACAACTGACAAAGTCACAGGGGAAGGATCAACTGAAGGAGAAGTGGAACATTCCTGGATATCCACAAATCCTACAGATACACTTCCTCTACTGCAAGACAGTCACCAAGAACAGACCGAGGGACAAAATCATCAGAAGGAACCCAGTGATGAAGGACAGATGAACCACAACAAACCTAGCCATGAAAGAGAAGACAACCACGAAAAGACCAGCGATGAAAAAAGCAGCAAAGAAAGACAGGAAGAACCCAGTACTCTAGGACAAGACAATCCAGCTTTCTCTGGTGCTTTAGAGGCTTTACACAATCCCAATGTAACAAGCATGCTGGGAGTTATAAAAGGTAACCTAGTCCCTTCTCTTGGGGAATCTGCTTCAATTCTGAAGAAAATACCTAGTCCTGCTGCATCCCTGGCTCTAAAGTCTCTGTCTGAGACCCCAGGCTTATCCCAAGGATCCCCCTCTGATGGTCAACCTACAGACACACACACACAGTCCTGCTGCAGTCTACTCCAACAGGATCCCCCTCTGATGGTCAACCTACAGACACACACACAAAGTCTACTCCAACAGGGGAAACCACTCCAAGTCCCATCCTAATTCCATGTCAACACACGGAGAAACAACAGTATAATGAAAGTGTGAATTGTCTGTAACATTGAGTCTAATAAGATTGATGCAATAAAATTTTAAAACATCATGCATTTTACTGGGTAAAGGAAAGGTGGAATATTTCAGCAAGAAAATAATGAGGAATCCTGTATGTTTGGAGGCAAAGGTATCTAGAAGTTTTGAAGTATAAGATGTGCTATCATTTACTAAGTTTTTATTCATAAGAGAACATTATTTTTTTAACTGTGATCACAACTGGGAAACAAAACATGTTCTCAATTCTTTTTAAGATTGAAAGACAAGAAGTGGGTGAACAGGGCATTTGTGAAAAAAAGAAAGTCTTACTTTTCAAAACATTTACATTAATAAACATAATGATTTAATTTTTAAGCTTCATATACAATACATGCGCATATTCAGATTTTTTTTAAATGCAGCAGCAGATAGTGTAACATTATAGACTTCAATAATTTTTTTCTGAATTTACATGTATAATAGCTGAATATAAATACAAACTTAGAAGAAAAAATATTATAATTTTACATGTGTATTTTATTTTATAAACTTACTGTTAGCAATAGAAATATGTCCAGCTGTTTCATAGAATGTATGAAGGTCCTTACTCGTTCCTCTTAGCTCTGATTCCTGGAAATGTAGAAAAACCTGATGACTTTAGACCTATATATACACTATTTTTCTGTTTCACAACTCTTTCATGAGGTGTATTTCAATTTGGAGACCAAGTTCTGAAAATGAAAGTGAAAATTAGAGAATGATGAAATACATACAGAAAGTACACAAATATCAATGACATTTAGGTGTATCTATATTTATAGCTAGCTGCATTCAGAACCAAGAGTAAGGGAGAGAACTCCTTAGTTCTTAACACTACAACTTGAAACTAAGACAGATCACACGTAAAGTATTGCCAAGACCTTTTTTTTTTTTTACAATTATCTATATTTAGAAAGCGGCATGAGGACATTACATGTAACTTTGATAATACGAAAAAAGTAAAGTTTTTTGAACAATTTTTTTCAAAATACATATTTTAATTTTTGCAATTTTTTTTTTAAATTTTGAACGATGCTTTCAAAAAAAAAAAAGAGAAAGATTTCACTATGAGCCAGAACAATGCAGTGCTAGATTCAAAAATAAGATTTACTTTTTATCAATATATTCATGAATTAATGCAGTGCTCCATCATTCAACTCATTCATTCATTGACCAGATCGACAAATAATTTAATGAAATTGACAACATAGTACTTATATTATGGAGACTTCTCTTTGACATAATAATCAGATTAGCAGCTTACCTGTCAAGATTATCATGTCCAGTCCTAACAACATACCTGTATCAGTTATGTCCACTCCTTATACTACAGAGGGGTAATCAACGCTTAATCTCTCAGTTCTACTCCAATCTCAGAAGGGAAGATAACTCTAGCGCGGTCTAAGACCACCCCATTCTCTCCTGCGATTCCATTGGTTGATGAAATGGCTAGAGGAAAAATGACAGTAGCTATTATAAACACAACACAGAACACATGTGCTTACAATGGCATGGACCCCAGTAAATCAGTAGATACAAACATCTATAGATTTAGGCCCAAACAGTCATTAAAACATGGAGTAAGTCAAGTGAACAGTTAACTGTCCCATTAGACACACCTTGCTTGATTTGACAATGTTTGTGGATTAAATTCATGTTATTTCACTTTATTCCATGGATCTAAGCATGGCCCCCGTTTTTCTGTTTTTGTTACAATTTTGGACTTCTCTGGTTAATGGAGGGCCAGAGGACATGTGGGATGGCCTCAATTGTGAGTACATTTTTTTTAACATTATCCTCAATTTCTTAAAATTTTTACCTGTATGTTAAAAAACATTGTCTTCTTAGAGGGTTGCACTAGGTTATTTCAGTAGGATAATCTTATTAAATTTCAATAATATAAGTAAAGATTAAGCAATTTAAAAGGTGGCTTTAATCTGATAATTTTCTGAAATGAACCTTCATTCTTTCATAATCTTTAAGCCCTTTTGAAACTTATCAACTTCAAAGCATTTTTTGCAATTAAAATAACTAAGGTATGAAAAGACCTCCCTTTGCAAGAATGCATAAGACACTTAACAATTAAAAGAAAAATGTTAACAATACTGATAATTCAAACTTACGTTTTTTGAGTGAAATAAAAGACATAGAAAAATGAATGAAGATAGAAATCAGTGATTGTATTATGTAGTGGGTGTATTTTCTGCATTACTGGATTTATCTGTAAAATGGAACATTTTTTCTTGAAACAAAGACCAAGAGAAACGAGGAAAAAATGGTCAGCCAAGAGATCAATAAATTCAAATAAAACTGCCGAACTCTAAAATGCTGGGTTCTGAATTTCCCTCTGGAATTTTCCATCTCCGAAACCAAGTGTGGGAAATTGTGATCTCTCCAAAGCACAGAGAAGTTGACAGGAAATCACATGGAAATCGCCACCATCAGTTTTACACGTAAACCTTAGAGAGGCTATACAAGGCATTCCTCTCCTGTCGATTTGTGTAATGTCCCCATACATAATGGATGGTGTTTGCCCATTTTATTACTAACAGAAAACATAAACATAGATCACAACTCACAAAGGTTCCGACCACTTTCAAATTTCTTAGTCATACATTTGAACAATGTTTTTTGCCATTAATGTAAAAGGACTGCTGGTCCCCTAATCAGAGAGGAATTACCCTAAAGCTATCAACATGGTCCTCTGAGAGTTGCCACTCAAATGTTATCTGTAAATAGTCACCGGGAAACCAACGAAAGCAACCTCCACTCCACAAAAATCCTATCTAAATATGCACTTAATATTATCAAGTTTTTAATACATTTTTCATTAAACATGAATCTGGCTGTACATTTACTTAAGAGAAAATTAATCTTCTCAGGAGAATAACGAATCATTACTCCAAGCGATAAACACCCAGGTGAAATGAGCAATGATTCAACTGCATTTATCTGCTAGGTAATGATCCAAGTTTTTCTCTCAGGGCCACGACCCTATTCTGAGGACAAGACTTGGGAGAAAATCTTGAAGAACACAAAGGAAGCTGCTGGATTTGAGGGATAATATGCGAGAGTAAAGGTCGTTAATTATTTAGTGTCTTCTCTGTCAGTCAAAGACAGGAGCTAGGGGAAATCAATACACAAGCCAATCCAATTAAAAAAAGCTTCCAGATCAAAGACAGTCACCTGGTCAAAGACAAACACGGGGGTTTCACCTGATTCCTCAGGGCCATTATACAAGTACACTTATCTATAATTGAAATCAGCTTCAGCAGTGGCTTGTCATATATTGCTTTATCTCTAAAAAGCAGAAAATACCCTTCATCCCAATGATCAGAAATTATTTTTAAAAATTTAACAATGCTGACTTTAAAATAATATGGAAAAAGAGACTAATAAATTGCAGGGAAAACATCTCTTTGATAAAATGAAATTGAGTGCTGACATTACATTTTGTATTCACAATTTGAATATCGGGTTATGGATGTACATTAATAACAATTGGGTCTATACAAGTTTGCTAAGAATGGTAAGAAAGTATCTAATTAAAAATAAAATTATCAGTTGAAATCATTGATAAATTATACTTCCCGATAGGATTCCATTTCAGCTGTGTACACAACAGACATTAACTTTAGAAATCAAAAAAATACCTTAATCCAAACATTTTTCTCAATCCAATTAACACCAGTTTTTTCATCCAAACTTTCAATGTCCCCAAGACATAATGCCCATTAGAAAATGAAATTAAAAGGCCTATTCTTTTGTGAGATATTGAATCTGGAGGTTTGAGAATCGATTACACAGATTCGTGTTAACATACCAAGACAATAAGCTCAGAAGGTGGTAGGAAGGCTAATTGTCAGGAGATAAACACTATCAATTGGGTAAAAAAATTCAACCTAGACCAATTTTCTCTTTGTTCATAGACAAATTTCCAGAACCCTGCAGGCAGTATTTGATGAAACTAGTCTCTAATCAAACTTTTCTCTTATTGCATTAATTACCTGAAAATGGAAAGTCTGAAAGTTAGTTCTGACTCTGGCAGATGCACATTTATCAATGAATCAATAACAACACACTAGATACAGGTGTAGCCTAAAGATTGAAACACCTGTGTACCAGTACTTCATTGTCATGAATTTTCTTATCAGATTTTATTTTCATTGCAAGAATTTAAAATCTGTGTTGAATACTTTCCATGCAACAGCTTAAATAATTTAGCAAGACTGAGAAAAAAGTTCGACTTCATAAAAAACATTTTGAAAATCATTTTTTGAAAAATTGATTGGAAATGTAACCACACCTATAGTAATTGGTTGTACATTTAGGACTAATAATTAAGCAGTCATAAGGTTTCATTCATTTTATCAACCTAAGGTTTTTATAATCCTAACATTGTATGGTTCACTGTGTGTCGGACAGTTCTACAGGCGCCAGTATCTGGTCTATTACAACTCACAAGTAACGGGAGTATTCACAATGTTACCAAATAAACCCAGAGTTTAAACATTTAAAAAAAAATGACAGGACTAAAACATCCTTTGATTGTATCTGTTGGAGACCTGTCTTCTCGATTAATTCTTTCTCGTGACGATGTCATTATATAATTTGTCCCTGTGCAGTAGGATGACAGTTTGGGCTTTGTTAGAATTACACAGGTAGACGGTATCAAGATCAACCCTGCCATTCAAATTGTAAATCACAATATCCCCGCGTATGAGCTCACTCACATAGTCATAAAGCACCGTGAACTAGCCTGCGCATAATTTAATTTGCCCGGAGGGCCCCCAACAAAAAAAACGTACAGCATGACAAAAATATTAATAACTGGTGACTGAGCAGCTACTGTAAAATTTCTCTCTGTTTCAATATCAAGGAGAGCCTTCATATAATAATACTAATCCATATACTGTTTATTGTATATTGAAGAGGAAGACATTAGGCGTAATGAAAGACACAGCTGTGTCTCACATTACCGTAGGGAGCTATATCTAGACTCAGGCAGAGTATCATTGTCTGAATTTATCTGTGTATGTTTTCTACATATGTCAAGTGAAGTAAGATAATAGGCTCTATCAAAATCATTCTGTTTATTTAGTCAAGAAATTTTGTTACTTCGGCTTTAAAATTTACATGGATTCACAGGACTATTAAAACATCGTCAGCATTCTCTGATACATGTACCTATATCGGTAATTTATGGTAGAAACCTCATCATGCAGTTATGATAAGCATGTATCACTTTATAATGAAACTATGTACACTGTATGCAGTATAATTAATTTTGAAGTAAATGTATGATTGTAGCTAAATATTCCTTCATCTTGATTTTCATCCCTGGAAGCTCGTCAGAGCTGAATCAGACTCTCTGGTTGTTTCAGATTTGCTCTCATTACGTATGTGTAGACCACTTGAGAAATATTGATAGTTCCTTCTCATGGAATACAGAAAGAAATAATTCTGGGGCGATATCTGGGTTAAGTGAAGAAGTTGGAGATAGAGTTTTCATGACTTTGTAATGTCACCGAGCTGACTCGTAAAAATTAATGGAGCATTATTTTTCGCAGTCGTATTTAGTATTGAACCTAAGTTTCAGCTTTCACAAGAGAGAGAGCAAGAAGAGTTTTTTTTTTGGCTGATTGGACAGATAGCAGAGAAAACAATGGCAGTTCAATTGATCTGTGATGTGTCGCGGCACACCAAGCGAACAGCACTTTTTTTCTAGATAATCCCCTCTATCTCAGCTTGAAAGAAAAGTGCCAATTATTGAAGCACTTCCTATGTATCCATACTTGTCTTCTAATCCAGATCAATCCGCAGACTTCTATGGCTGGAACTCTCTCAGATGTGTAACACTGTTGACATAATAGGATCACTTCATAGAAAAGCCTTAATCCTTATCATTACAGCTATGTAATATGTTTTTAGAATTGGTGTCAAAAAAATAAACACACACATGTAATTCTATGTTATTGTGAAACTGAAGAATAGAAAATGAACCCTTTCTTATACTTTGGACTAGTAAGCAAAGACTGAATAAAAGAAGAGAAGTTGACAATAAAAATTCCTGTCAATGTTTTATTTTGACGTCAATTTTCAAGTATAAGGTACAATAATTGTTAGATAAACCCACAATTTTGTTATTCTAAGACCTTAAGTACACCCATGACTCCTTCATTAATACCCAAGTGGCTGGTTTCACACATTTTAAACCAGAGTGCTTCTAAGTGGTTATCAAATATATTGTATTTATTTTTTCCTTTAAAGAATGAAACAAGACTTTGTGGATTATTGGGTAACCGCTGTTACATAACTCTTTCCCACCTCTCTTTTAAATACCAATTTCATGGAGCTCTTGAATCTCTGTATATACAAATACTGACTGTATACCAAAATCAGGAAAGAAAAAAAGAGGAACTATATAGTATGTCAAGAAAACTCCTTGATCTGGTGAAAGCGAGCTATATGGACACAGACCCACCATCTGTGTTATCACACTATCTCCCCCTCCTGACTGTCAATTATCCCTCCCCTGGTGACCTGCTACAGACAGCAGTATTGTACAACACTCCCACTGACAGACAAGCACTGTCCATTAGAGTGCCATTCCCTGGAGAATCCCTGCAGGAACCGGCCCTCCAAGACAACGACAGACAGAGAGGTCATCTCAGGTCAGCGGTGGGATATCACTGCTGGCAGTACAGCAGAAGCCTTCCACAACAGATGGAAAGTCAATATGGAAATCAGTTCCAGGCCGGCTTCTGGACA